CTGAAATAATGTCAAGCTTAACTCTTTTAAGAATGTTACCTTAAGCTATATATAACTCTATTAAGTATGCAAAGCTAAAATACAACTGTTTTAAGAATGTTAACTTAAACTAGTTACTGTAGATTTATTTAATTTTTTAATAAAATACTTTAAATGATTATTAATTTATACGGTTTAATATTTTGCCAGATGTTTCAAAGACTTTGTTGGACCAACAAATCTCGGCTTTCTAGCTGCGTACATCCATTAAAAACTTAATGTCTATCTATTACTATTTAGGGACTTTGACATCTTGCGGATAAGAAAAGCAGATAAGAAAAATCCTCTTGAATTTCTGCCTTGTCTTTGTGAAATTCAATTCAATTTCTCACAACTTTGTTTACCCGTTTTTAGGAACCGACCACGCATACTTTAGGCTTCACGTGTATTCAAAATAACGGATTTTCTATTTTTAGGATGTATGTATATTAACCACAATCTAGTATAAAATAAATTAATCATACATATTTTTTATTTCATTAAATATGCTAATAAATAAATGAAACTTGTAACTGGAACCACTCGAAGTTGAAGAATAAATAATTATAAACTCGAGTGCCGCGCAAAAATTGCGTGTGTGGCCCCTTTGTCGAGCGGATACTCAAAATTTCTTCTCTGCCAGCTAATTTTCGCAAACAAATTAGTTCCCTTTTTTGCGAACACCTATCGAATTAGTCGAGTCCAATTTTATCAAGATTCTTATAGTCGAGGCAATATGGCAACCTTTTTCTATGCCCTCATAACTCTATGGTCTGTGCATTTACAATCCATAAAAATATTATAAAAAATTCCAAAAATTATTTTAATAGTAGGAGAAAACAAAATTCGGCGGTGTAATTTTGATGATATTAACTGAAACACCCTGTGTATATAAATGCATACCAAATTTAACTACAAACTCATGTTAACAAAATCTAATTTTTATAACATTGTAGGGTTATATCTATGTATTGTATGATCTAAGATACTTACAGTAAGTCTTACCTTAGAGAATACAACCCGTGGATGACCAGAGGGCGTTTTTTTCTTCGAGGTTTTTGACAACATTACAAGTGTTTAAAAATAGCATAGGTGTTAAAGAACTAATGTCATAAGACGTCATTTTGTCGCACGCGGACATTTTTTGCGACAAAAGGTCTTATGACATGAGTTCTTGCTATTTTATCTTTTTTGCAAAAATTCTATAAAAAAAAATAATTTTAAACCTTAAATTTAATTTGGTCGAATTTTACTTTAGATTTTTGGTATCAGTCATTGGTTTGACAGTTAATGTCAAAATCGATTCGCCATGCCGTCCTTAATTTACTTATTTACAATGAGCGGCTGTTAATGTTAAAGAAGAAAAAAAGGATTTTCTTTGCTGTTAAACAAAATTTATTGCCAGAAAAGTCTCGTAAGTACTAGAAAAATCATAAAAATATTATAACCAATATGCGAAATATTATGATGTTTATCCCAACAAAAATTTTGATTTTATAGGTTGGCTATATTACAGCACCGAAAGCGGTGTTATAATGAAGTCATTATAAACGCAAAATAGATAAACATATAATTAAAATCAGGAAATTTTCTTTCACCAGAATTTTATCACGGCGACTTCCTGGTAGGAAACCAGCAAACAATAATTATCACGATTTGCAAATAAGTGTACCCAACTAATAAAATGAAAAAAATATGAAGGAAACACTACTTAGATTCCATCTTGAAAAAAATCGTACACAGAGGTTTATTTTTAGCGCTCAGGTTATTTAATATGCGGCAACCATACGAAAAAAATGATTCAGATGTCCGATTACCAACAAAAATAACTTTTTTTTAACAGTCAGACTTCCCAGAATTTCGCTGATGGTAGGTTGAATGGTACCCAGTTGCTTATTTAACATTTTTTGAAGATTTTTACTTGTGGGTAGGTTTATGTATATAGTTATATAAATGGGTTATCTCCCAGTTAAGATAAAATATTTTTGTCATTAAAGTTGCCAGATTTTGTTTGAATTTACCTTCATTACAAAAATAACATAATCAACCCCAAATTAACAATTTGCATTTTTGATTTTGTCATTTTTGTAATTAAACTAAATTTAAACAAAATCTGGCAACTTTTTTTGACAGAATCTGTAAACACTGGTTGTTACCAACCATAACAAAATAAATTAAATTAGGCAACCAGATTGGCCTAAAGTTCCTAGTCGATCAGTGGCGTACTTTTTGGTGGGATAAAGGTTATTATAAAGAATAGAGAAAAAAGTTTCAAGTGACATTAATTACATAACACCCTGTATACAAAATATATATTTTTAAAACCAGAAGAAAAAACTCTATTTAAATATTCAAAAATATACAGGGTGTTTCATTGAAAAAAAACAATGTCAATGCTATTTTATTAAATTTAACGATGCTTTTTATTTTTAAATTTTTGTCAAAAAAATTACTTGTTTAAACCATGCAAACTGGATTTTAAATTTTTTCGATATCTCTTCTAATAAAGATTTTATAGGGTTGTCCCATTTATATGAAAACCCTGTACAAGTAACAAAAATTAAACTTGTTGTTTATATTTGGACTTTTACCTTATTAGTTATGAACATGTCCCAAATTGCATTAAAAAAATCAATTCCAAATTACATTATGAAAAAATACCTACATTTTGTAATTAATTGATATTGTTATACCTTAGATTTAGATGAAATAAACTTGTTTGATTGTTGGATTAAACCAATTTCCTTTATTCACCTAAATGAATAACTTTTTGAAGTACGGAAAATACTTATTTGCAAATACAAAACATTTCATTTTTCACACACAGAATTAATAGATATGTTAAAAATGTGGTAATGTAAATTCCCATATTATCAAAAAGTGCATATATTATGGTTTTACACTTTTTTTTACGTTTGACCTCAAGAGAGATCGTGACGTCACGATTTAATAACATATTTGTCAAGAATTACGAATGAATCCGAAATCTGTTTCGAGGTTATCTTTAAAAGTACATGGGTCATTCCATGACAAACGATACTGAGGGTGAAAAAATAAATATATTCTTTTTGCATAAAATCTGATGATTTTTGAAAGAAAAAAATCCAAATTATAATGTGTTAAGTTAATTAGTCTTCAAAATCTGTACTCAAGTGAACACATTCATTCTATATGTTATTATTTGTTACTTAATTATTTTGTAGCTACTAGTACTAGTACTTAGAGACTAATAAAACACCGATTTTGTCCATATAAAATGTTTAATATTTGTAATTGTAACACCCGAAACAGAACCATGGTAACACCCGAAACAAAGTATAAAAAAATAGTAAAACGTTATTTGTGACAGTGATTATGTGGTAGATGGTAAGTAAATATTATACTTTTGGAGGCCTGTAATTTTTAGGAATGTTTTCCTAAGAAAATTCGCTGAATTTCAAATAAATGTAACAATGGTCAGGAGTCCTGACTCAGGACATATAGGCAGAATTGTGAAACACCCGAATAAAATAAAATCATTACCTATATACTTAAAAAAATAATCTGTTTGACGACTAACGGACCTTTTTTGCAATATTACTCCTTTTTAATTTTTCCCAACATATTTTCTCCTCGCCCATTATGTACCGGGTACAGTGTACCCTCGTAAAGAACCGGCAAAAGTATAAAACACAGAAACTAATAGCAAGAAAAAGCGAACCGGCTAAAAAGAAGAAGAAGAACACGATAACCAGCAAAAACGGAGAAGTAAATAAATAAAGAGAGAGATGAAGAGACCGAAAACAGCTGATCGCGTTATGTGTTATCGTCTGCAGAATGTTTAGTAGGAGCGGCAGGCGATTCCCACGGATCGACACAAGGACGACGACTTGTAGAATGCGAATCGCAACGTTGCCATTTTGCCACCCATTTCCCTTTTGGCGGGGATGAGGCCTGCCATGGGTTCGCCAGCTTTGGGTGGTCTTGAAGACTTTGTGGGTGTTTTTGGAATATTAGTTTCAGCTTAATTAATTTTATCATTTCATCCGTATATTGCAATAAAGTTAAAAATGCACATAAAAAATCAACTATATAGGTATTACTTAGTTGTATGGAAATGAATCACAAAAGTTTTAGGTAGGTATATAGTAAAATCCTATGAATCATCAAGTATTAAATAAAAAATTTAAAAAATCGTGGAACAAACCAGTAATTTTTATTCCATTTAAAGTTGGCAGCACTGACATAATTCCAAACGAAAACCTATTTCTTGACATGTTAAAACCAAAATGATTGCCTCAAGAATTTTAAACAGAAAATATTAAGTTAAAAAAAAGCCGTCAACCACATATTTAGGCTTCTTTCATTGCTAACCAGTTCCGATTCTATCGATTTGAAACCAATAAAAATCGCGAAAATGAAAGCCTTAACGAATTAGAAGAAACAATAAACGACCATTGCGTCTTGTTGCTGCTCAAAACAATTAAATACCAAAGTGTGGAAGTCGATAATAAATTATTTAAATACCTAGCAAGACAATTAAATCCCCTACAAATGCTAAATATGGTACTGAGCACTCTGTGAACAGCATTTATCGGAATAATTTACTCCAATCCACTATTTCAAGTATTTTTGCTTACAAAATCGAAGAATTTCAGCATTTAACCATGAGATATTTATCAGAGTACCTTAAAAACAAACAACTTACCGTAAATATTTGCAATTACTTCGTTTATTTCAAGTTGACACCAAATTTATAAACTATTTTCCCATTTACAAGCTAAAATAACATTTATATTATAGTATGGGTCGTTAAAACAAAATAAAATACAAACTTTTGTTGCATTACACAGTTTAAAACAATTTTAAATAACAATAACAACAAATTATACACTACAGACACCTTTCGCGAGAATACGTAACTGTCAAATTAAAATACAGTTTCCTTTTAAGCGTACAGCGCCATCTATGTATAATATTAGTAATGCATTTTATATGACAGAAAATGTAAAGTAGTTCAAATGTTTCGCCGTATGTTTTGACATTTCCGCTGTCAAAATATAACGTTTTGAAGCATATTCTTGTGTTTTTCTTTAATTTTAAAGCCCCAAAATGTCCGAACGGAAAGTTTTAAACGTAAGTATCCACTTAAACAATACAAGTATCGTAAATAAGTGTTTTTTGTGTGTTTTAGAAATACTACCCCCCGGATTTTGATCCTTCGAAAATACCCCGCATGAAATTGCCGAAAAACAGGCAATATACAGTGCGTTTGATGGCCCCTTTCAACATGAAATGTGCAACTTGTGGGGAGTATATTTATAAGGGTAAAAAATTTAACGCGCGTAAAGAAGACGTGGAAAATGAAGATTATTTGGGTATAAGAATTTATCGATTCTACATAAAGGTAAAATAATACGTAAATATTATAATTAATTAATATAAATGCATATTGTAGTGTACAAGATGTTTACAAGAAATATCATTCAAAACGGACCCTAGAAACACAGATTACGAAATTGAGGCAGGGGCAACAAGAAATTTTATGGCGTTGAAGCTAGCAGAAGAGCAAGCTGTGAGAGAAGAAGAAGAAGCAAAGGAAGAGGAGGCTTCCAACCCAATGAAATTGCTTGAAAATCGTACAAAACAATCCAAAAATGAGATAGAGTTATTAGAATCTCTGGAGGAGTTAAAAGATTTAAATAAACGACAACAGGTTGTTGATTATGATACGATGTTGTTGGCTTATGACAATACAATGTCTGAAAGAGAGAGGGAGGAGAAACTGAAGCAAATGGACGAGGACTACATAAAGTAAGGTTAAGTTTAGGTTGTGTTGGGTTAAATCAACTTATTTGTATGTTTTTAGGTCAATAAAGTTTAAAAGCAGTGAAAAACGTAAATTGGTGGTGGAAGAGGAGGTAATAGATGAAAACAACGACGAAAAAACAAGTATACAGAGTGTTCCAGCAACATCAACTAGTTCCCAGTGGTCAAAACCTAAAGTGACGGCAAATGTGGCAAAAAAGAACATTTTGGGGGGCTTGGTAAAGGTTAAAAAGGTTTCAGAGAGTAATGTAGAAACTAATAGTAAAAATAATAAAATTCCTGAAAAACCTGTTGTTAATTCAGGGTTAAGTTTGTTAGGGAACTATTCTGATAGTGACAGCAATAGTGAGTAGTTTTTGTAAATAAAAGACGATTTTTTAATACAAAAAAAGCATTATTTTCCTTAATAAAATTTTATTTTGCATAATTTAAAACCAAAATTTTTTTAATAATTGAAAAAAAATAATTATTTTTTTATAATTGTTTTGAGAAATTTTTGTTTTCTATTTAAAACAGTTTTAAGAAGGTTTTAAAAACTGCTAAAGTTCGTTTTTTTATCCAGAATTTGGCACATTTGATTATGTTGGTATTGTATGTTAATATAGGTATTTTTAATATTTAAAGTTGGTACTCCTGTTAAAGCCCTTAATTTTGATGTGTATTTGTGCGCTGGGTATGCAAATTTGCCTTTTTTGGCCGTAAAGTCACCTATATTTCTTCAAAGGTAAAGTTAATGCATTTTTAACAACTTATATTTGACATTTCAAAATTTATAAACATTCTTATAATTATATGATAACCACAATTTTATTCACTAAACTAGTTTGTTCTACTCAATGTAGCCAATTAAAAATTAGTGAGTAGTTTTTTTAAATAAAAGAAGATTTTTTTATACAAAAAAGCATTATTTTCATTGATAAAATTTTATTTTGCATAATTTAAAACCAAATTTTTTTTAATAGGTAGGTCTTAAAATATATATTTTTTTATAATTGTTTTGAAAAATTTTTGTTTTCTATTTAAAACAGTTTTAAAAACTGCTAAAGTTCGTTTTTTTTATCCAGAACTTGACACATTTGATTATGTTGGTATTCTATGTTAATATAGGTATTTTTAATATTTTAAGTTGGTACACCTGTTCAAGCCCTTAATTTTGATGTGTTTTTGTACGCTGGGTATGCAAATTTGCCTTTTTTGGCCGTAAAATCACCTATATTTCCAAGGTAAAGTTATTGCATTTTTAACAACTTATATTTAACATTTCAATATTTATAAATATTCTTATAATTTTAGTATAACCACAATTTTATTCTCCACTAATATAGTTTGTTCTACTCAATGTAGCCAATTATAAATTTAGGGTCCCTATAATTTTTAGATTTTATTTTCTAAATATTATATATTTATATAAATAAATAATATAGAAATAAAATTCAGTTTTAAAAGGTAATTTAATAAAAGTTTTAGTGAAATAAAAAACAAAATAGATTCTCACATTTTTATTTGAAATGTTACATTTACTTTACAAACACAGTTCTTCAAAGGTTAGGCTTATTGAAATTTTATTTTAATTTTAACCTCTCCATCAGCAGCGTTTGATGAATTTAAGTCTGGCCCTGGAATAAAAAACAATCGGATTTAATAAAAATTATCATCTACAAAAGGAACCAGAGTTAAATTGATCAAAACACCGTTTAAAAACGATGTTTTTTGACCAAAGTAAAAAATAGTCAGCTACTTACATTTTTTACTAGAGTCGTGTGCTTATGAAGGGGTTACTTACATCTGAAAAAATACGTTAAATTAATTTAAACGGTACAAATCATCGGCTGTCACAATCGAAGCTCTTAGCACAGGAAAACCCGCGAAATCTACGTTAGCAAAATTATTATTATCATCGAATTGATTCTCTTTTATGTCGTCGAAGACGTTGTTGAATTTGCCTTGCAAGAGCCTGCACTTTCTCGACGTCAACGACAAAACCTTATCGAAAGTGCGCGACGTTTTCTTGCCGACAAAAGTCTGCGTGGACCTCGTATAGTTGGAGTCGGACTGCGCAAGCGCGCTTATATCCAGACTGCTCAGGTGATAGAGCCGAGCCCTAAGGAAGTCCATCTTTTTCAACGAAACGCTCAGCAACGACTTGGCGTTGCAAACGCAGTTACTCGACGGGTCGGTTTGCAAGTTCAAGTAAGTCTGTTCCAAAGGTTTCGGTGAATATTTTACCCCCAAATCGTACCGTGTTTGGATCTCCGCCAGCTGATTCACGTGGGCTTTAGTGGCTTGCAACTCTTTCTCCATGCATCCAACGGTTTCTTGAAGCTTGTAGCGTTTTTCGTTCGTCGACGCCAAATTTTGCTCCAAGTCTCTGCATTCGCGTTCCAGCTTGAGGATAACTCGTTCCTTCTCGTTGATCTTGTCCTGAAGCTCCTTAATTAGGCGATCTTTGATTTTGTTTTCTTTTGTGACCTTAAACAACAACTAATTAGATGGGTCAGTTTCAAAATTCTTGTACATTTAAAGAAGAAAGTTTTACACCTAAAACCCTAGTAGCAATTCCGGAAAAGTCTTGGCCCAGCATGGGTCAAGATACTTTGGACAGATTTTTGCTCAAGAATTGTTCCAGATTCTTGGCCAAGATTATTGGGCAAGACTTGAGCCAGACTGTGGTCAGAATTTGACAAGAATTTGACCAGAAATCTGAGGCCATCTATTGCTAAACTTTGGGACTCTATAGGAATAGAGTAGAGGTTCTCATTCTACAGTAGTATCATTCACAATAATGTATACTAGTTGAGAAGTGAGTTCTCTGTAGGAAATGAGTATAGTTTTTTTGTTTATGTGAAAATACGAATAAGAGCTTATTGGATTCGTCTTCTAGCTGAGAAAAAAATTGATTTTTTGAAAAATAAAAATTGTTATTTCTAAAAATCAAAAATTAAAAAAAAAGTGTGTGTCAGCTCTGACGCATAACTAGAGTTTACTCTTTATGAACATGAAAGATTATAAAATACATGTTTATTTTTAGGGGCACCTGCTTTTTTTTTAACATAGAAAATTAAAAACTTTAACTCTTTCAAAATTTGTTTCGTTTTTAATTCTATTGTTTACCAGATTTATGGATAAAAACCGAATTTACTGGAAAATTAATGTTTTTAGTAACATTCTTAACTTTTGAAGTTCAACAAAATTTTGTATTGACCAAAAATCTTGAATTGAAAGTTCCTATTTAACGTGTAATCGTGTAAAAATTCTTGGCCAAGAATCTGGTCAAATTCTGGTCACAGACTTGTCCAAGTCTGCCACCAGTCTGGATAAAGAATTTTGATCAAGAGTCTTGGTCAAGAATTGTCCAATTCTTTACAAAGTGCTTCTCCAAGTATCTTGACAAAGAATCTTGTCCAATTCCATTTCTACTAGGGAAGTGGGCAGTTGGATTTTGTTAAATAAGACCTTAAAAAAGAAAAAAGATGGTTAAATAGCATTAAATAGGGAATATTATTGCAAATGGGACAGCTACTTTTCTGTACTGTTAAAATGTTACAATTTTGCTAATAAATAGTTGCTAAAAACACTTAAACCAATTGATAATATTAAAGTTGAAGAACAGCAAATGTACAAGAAATTTGAAAATACCCCAGATACTTGTTAACTCGTTTGTCAAGTTATATTACATCTATTAGAACTGATCTCAAGTCGTGCGAATATTTGATCAAACTCTCCTTCTCCAGCATAATTTCGTCCCTCGAATTCTTCAAAACCCCGCTCATATTGTCCCTGTATCTCAGCAAATTTTCCATCTCCACCATCTGCTTGGCCTGCTTGTCGATTATAGCCTCGTAGTCCGCAATCTTCTGCTCGCTCTCCATAGACTTCCGCATCAACTCATTGAGCTTGGCTCTGCCCTCCTCCACCATCGTTTGGAGCTCCACAGTCGGGCAAACGACGTTTTGCTCCTCCAGCGCATCTTGCCGCACCTTCAGGTGCCGAATCTCCGTGGTCAATTTTGCCACTTCCATCGACCTGGAAGTGTTATAAAAGAACCTTTTTTAACTCTTAGCCATTTTAACGTTGTTCAGTTACTTTTCGCGAAGCTTCTCCTCGCTCTCCTCCAACAGCTGCTGATACCTGTTGATTATGTCCTGGTTTTTGCGCATCAGCTCGAAATCCACCCCGCTCAACACTATTTCTTGTTTCTGCTACAATGTTTTATAATTTTTTGTATAAAATATTTTATGATATATATTTACCACCACTTTTGGGGTTTGAGATTGGATTGGACTCAATTGGCTTTGATTTGGCGTTGCTTCAGCATTTCTCTCTTGCTCCAGCTCCTTGATTCTATCTTCTAGCTGCGTAATCAAGACCTTGGTCGCCAACTCCTCCATTTTTTCCTCCATGTGGCCCTTTGGTTTATCTGCAAAATCATTTTTACGAGGGTCAATCCCTGATAGCACAGTTTATTCTAAGAATGTTTTTTAAACCTTCCAGTGAGAATATTCTTGGATCATGCTATATTTCTTCTAGTCATGTTCTAAGAATGTTTTTTAAACCTTCCAGTGAGAATATTCTTAGGATCATGCTTAAAGAACATGCTTAAAAGAAATATAGCATAATCCTAAGAATATTCTCACTGGCCTATAGGCAGGTTCTTAGAAGGTTCAAAGTTTAGTGATAAAAATTAATCCACTCTAAACATATGCTTAGAATGTTGAAAAAGTAATTGCTATAAGTTCATTCAGGAATATTCCTGGAACATTCTGTTAAGCATATTCAGTTCAGTTAGGTACCTATATAATAGTAAAATATACCATAATCTACGTATAAAGGTATGTACCTGTACTTAGTATTAAATACTAAGTAAAAAACACAAGCGAAAATATTTTTTTATAGTTATTTGTCAAATTAAAACAATATTCGATATCAAAAATTCTTTTACTATAGGTATCTAAATTATCCGGCTTTTACATAAAATCTTCTATCCAACTTATACAATGAAAAATGTTTTTTTTATGAAAAACTATTTGGTTTTTTCTTTTATGAAGAATTATTTTATAAGGAAATATTTTGTTTTTTTATATTTTATTTTATATTAAAAATAAATATTTATTAATTTGTATACCGATTTTTTATATCTGAATTAACATTATGTATAATAATACTATCTTCAACTTCAATCTAATCTGACTTATCCCACAAAATTTTCCAATTTTACTTTTTATGAAATAATGTCATACAACTTATGGTTCAGAGGTCAAATTGTTTATTTAATATTTTTAAATAAATATATATTAATATGTCGCAAAATTTTTTAAGGGGACGACAAATACATTTCACTGTCATATTATGACAGTGAGGCGTATTTGTCGCCTCCTGAAGAATTTTACGAATGTAGAATCCAACATATTAGAACGTGGGTATCTGACATATTTGGAAATATTCTCAAAAGCTTCCTAGAAGCTCCATAAGAAACCTTCTAAGAACATTCCAAAAACGTATTCTTAAAATGTTCTTAGAATGCTTTTTAGGAAGGTTTTAAGAAGCTTTTAAGAATCTAATTGCATCATTAAAAGGGTATCTATTGAATGTTTTAAAAGTCCCTAAGAACATTCTTAGCAATAAGGGAAGGTTCTAAGAATACTCCATTATTCCGGGTCATATCTTCTTAGAAGATTCTTAGAATCAAATTTTGCTATCAGATTTATATAAATCTGATCTGATAATTACCATTCCCCCAATCAAGGCTGTTGGTGATTTCAAACATCTCCCTCTTCGAGTCCATCCCCATCCTAATCATGTGCTGCTCGATAGCGTGGAACTTCTCCTGCGCCGTGTTTTTCTCCCCCTGCACCTCCTCCAACTTCCTGGTGGTCTCGTCCAGTTCCCTGCGCAGGTTCTCAATCTCCTTCGACATCTTCTCCTCCGACTGGCCCTTGTGCTTCTCCGCGTACTTGTACCTAAATAAAAAAATTACATCACATCAGTCCTAAGTCCGGACGTATCATCAGGCACGACCTTACCTTCGAATCATACCTAACAAATGCTCGGACTAAAGAATGAAACAACGTAGGTAAAGGTAAAAAAATCATTTTTAATGCATTAGACACAAAAATATATATGTAGGTATAACTAAGTTAACGGTTTTATATAACCGGGGTTATGATTTCAGTGATGGCTCTCAATGTTATATTTACTAAACACCTTGTTTCAAACTGGTTTCGGTCGCTAGTCAACTTCTGCAAGATGGACTCTTGATGCTTGATGGTTTTGCTCAGATCTTCCTTCTCCTTCACCCACTGGCATTCTTTGGATTTGTGAGAATCCTGGATATTTCTAGAAAAAAGTTTTAGTGCATTAGATGTCCCTATTGAAAATGCCATATAGAACCATATAAAAAACACGTATCTGGATTCTATATGGTTTCTATCTGGTTCAATATAGGTATTAAAAACAGGCATTTCACTATAGAACCAGATAGAAGATTACATTATAGATCCAGATAAAAACACTCTAAAACACTATAGAACCAGATAGGGAAACCTATCTGGAAATACATATAGAACAGAAACCAGATAAATCCATATACATTTGGTTTCTGTTCTATATGTATTTCCAGATAGGTTTCCCTATATGGCCATATGGTTGAATATGAAAATTTTTAAAATGGAAATCCATATTTAACCATATAGAATCCGTAATGTAAACCAGGACTTTCCATATAGGACCTATAAAACCATATAGAATCAGATACGTTTCCTTATCGGATTCAATATGGGTTCTATATGGCATTTTCAATAGGGGTATCAGATGTAATATTTACTTGAGTCTTCTGGATAGTTCGCTATTCTTTTCATCGACATCCTTGGATTTCAGTTCCAACTCTGATATTTTGGTTTTCAGTAATTTGATGGTTTGGCCATTCACGTTGTTTCTCGTCTTATGATCCATCGTATTTTTCCGTTCGTTTTCTATTTCAACTTCCAATCTCTACAACGAAAAATAATTAAAACACTATATAATCGAACCTCTATCAAACAGTCACTCTAATTTGATCCCTGAGGCCTTTGATAACAACGTCCAGATCATTCACAGATTTGTCGTGCACGTGTTTCTTCTCGTCGAGCTTCTGCTGAAGATCCTTTATTATTGTGTTGGATTGCTCTACAAGCTTCTTTTGTTTTTCTAGTTGAGCTTGCAAGTCCTCAATGTTGCTGTCTTCCTTATCATCCTTGGTTTTTTTGTCCGACAACAGAGACGTCCAGTTGTTCACCAACTCGTTTATTCTAGACTCGTGCTCGCATATTATCATGTCCAAACTTTTCTGCAGCTCAGAACCTACACATGTAGAAACATCAATATAAGTTTATACACAGAAAAAACGCTAGCATAGCATGGGTGAGCCATTAAACCAATGGGATCTTGTAATCCGTATTCCTGAATAACAGTTCCTATAATACCAATAGGTAGTTAGCACTTGGTTTATAATCGTTTACTGTTTTTAAATTAACAACAAAAGTTATCGCTCCTAAATCTATTGATATTCATATTGATATTTATTTGTTAGAATGGTAGAATGTTATTGCAGTAATTAATTGAGCAAATAACAACAATAACAGATTGCTTCAATTTTAATGCATTCAATGACAGCGCTGTTCTTGGTACTATGTTAGATTTTTTTCTGTGTATGTTTATAGTCATTACCTTCAGATTTTAGTGCTTCTATTTTATCCGATATATCATCCACAGTGACCTCAGACTTGGTGACACTTTCCAAAAGCTCCACAATGATGGCTCTTCTGCTTAAAAGATTCTGGCAAATGCTGAGCAACGTTTTCGGTATTTCTTCTATGGAAGTTTTCATCTCGACGAGCATATTTTCCGACACGGCTTCCCCACCTCCACCTTCCTTCTGCACCTCCTTTTGAGCCTCATTCTCCAGCTTTTCTTCCAACTTCTTCTTCTTTTCCACCGAAAGAACTTTGATTTCCTCTAATTGAACGCTCTTGCCCAACTCGTTGAGTTTCGCCTTGATCTGGACGAGGTTCTCGTACAAATCCAAGACGGGTTTCTGCTTGTCGATCAGCTCTTTGGTCAGCGTGGTCAGACGTTTGCGTTTGTTGATGAACTGCACTTCCAACGTGTGCTTGTTGTTGGTGCCCACTGCGGAGCGGTAGCACGTGGTGGAGGTTTTCGGGATCTTGCACATGGAGGATTTGGTGGAGGAGGGGCTCTTCTTCAGCAGTGGTATGCTGGAGTTTCTGCCTGGCGGTTTTTTGACCGCGTTGCCGGTGGTTTTGGGTCGCAATCTTTCACTTTTGACGCTGTCATCGCGTTTTTTTGCCGCCGTCTGCGGCCTGGTCGGCGCTTTCTCCCGCTTCGGAGGCTCCTTTATCTTCGGGATTGCCACTTCCTCTTTCGGTGGGTCCTCCTGCATCAAAATTATTCAAGCGAGACTCTACACGGATGTAGTTCGACTTACCATTATTGTTTTATCCAAATTATCTAAAGAACTACTTGTAATTTGGGTCACACCTGGAAAAATTCGGAATAAAATTGTAAAAAATATTGACATTAAAATGTCACTTGGTGTCGGTTACTTACTTTGCCATTCCGAATCATTATTAGTTTGTGTGTCTGACATAACTTCCTTTAATTTAATGTTTTTAAAATTACATCATAAAATATAGCTCGGAACCAAAAAAATTCCTTGTTAAATATGAAAAATCGTAAATGTAAAACACGGGCATATAAACAAATGATTTGGTAAATAACTTTGACAGTGACATAAAGATGTTGATTTGATTTTTCAGACAATTTTTGCAGGAACCATAGAAAAATAAAAAAGATTAATTTTATGCAAATGAACCAGTTTAACATGTAATAAGGCCCGCGTCAACAAAAGATTAATAACAAACATAAACCCATATTCTAATAGCCTTTCATTTCCTTCGCTGGTCCTCCAAATTGAATTCGTTCGTGCCTGCTCCAGGCCGGCCTCTAGCAGAATTTTATCCTCTAGCGGCCGTCCTGGAGGAGTCATAGAACCGTTGAATTCGAGATTCTACTCTCCGCTTCCAGTCCGCTATAGTAATTCAAAAGAAGAAGTAAGGAGTGAATGAAAAAAATAATACGTATATTTGTATTTTCAAGGTAAGTAATTTTAACATTAACAGAAAACTGGGTTTTTGAGTTTAGATTTTATAAAATAACAGGGGTGTCCAAACTTTCAAACTAAAGTAAAAATATCACATTTAATTAAAAATATCTGCTTATTTAATGAAATAAAAATTAAATCCCTTGGACATTTTTAATTCGCATGATAAAAATTATTATATGGGTGATTCTACAAAAGTTGGACAACTTGATGTATAAAGTATTTTTTCAAAAGCACGTTTGTAATAAATATTCAAAACATCAGTACCTTGGCGTGTCACAACTCCTGAATCAAATATTTGAGTGATTTTATTTTAAAATATATTCAATTTATCTTAAATTTTTCAATTTCACTACAAACTATAAAACATTAAATAATGTATTCTTCATATTTTATCATAGATTCAAATAATAGCAATTTTTAAAAAATTGATAATCTTTGTACTCACTTTTACCCGCCAGTTCTGTGTCCAAGTTTTAACGTCAAGTCCTCGTTTTAACTCAAGTGTTGGTAAAAAATTACCTACAGAGCCTGCCCTTTGCACGACAGTTATCTTGAAAACACTGCAAGCGGCGAAGTTGTGCTGAATGCACGTATAGTTCCAGTCGAAATCGTATATAATATATATTATATTATATATTATATTTCATTGTAATTTATATAAGGCTATATGTGATTTGTGATAAGTAGCATCCACTAATAAAACATATCAGTAAAATACTTAATTCCGAATTATAATCTCAAATTTGTATCCCATTCATCAGTACCGTGTCCTCAGTTCCATGTTCGATGTTTCGGTTATCTTTTTTTCGCAAACTTCAATTTAAATTCTGCTTGCGCAGAACTTGTTTATTTAATGTCATTATAAACTCATATAAATGTGGTGTGGGTCCCCTATCTAATAATTGAGATATCGGTATACCCAAAATCCACCAGCCGCCACTGATGTGTGGTATTATTTGATTTTAAGATATTTAATGTATAATATGTTTAATTTTCTCCGAAAACTATATAAACAAAATGGGGTCAAAAGTAGCCCCACTTTTGTAGAATCACCCATATGATATTTTTTATCTAATTGAAAATATCACATCAGTGTTATAAGAATAATTTCTGAATAAAAAATAAAAAACAAAATATCTAAACCACGAATATTGAATTAATTAATTCTCAGAAACTAATTATTCCACAAAAACTCTAGAAGTGCTCGACTCAAAAATCAATTCCCATTTCCAAACAAGTTGATAAGTACTGTTAAATAGTTTTTGGAAAGTTTAGCATTAACGAAGTTTTCAAGTACCTAATGTCTCGTACAATTTAAACATGCTCCGTTGGATAAATAACATTCGCAAGTAATCTCTTTGAAAAGTTTTCCGTAACAAATATCAGGTAATGTCTATTTGAATTTAAAGTTCTTATAATGGTGTTAAAAGAGTTGCCCAACTTTTTTTATAGTAGGTATGATGTTTAAAATAAGTTTAAAGTTCACCCAATTTATTTAAAATTTTTAATAATTTTTGGGATGTTAGGTAAGTACTACACTTACTAAAACTGCAAACTGATGATGCAGATTGCAGTTGAGCGACCGGCCGGTGCAATGTTTTTCAACGGATTTTTCTGTGTATATTTAGTTTGCATCTCACTATTGTTAACATCATGTTTCTGTATATAACGTAGGGTTGAACAAATTATGTTTTGAATTTTTCATAATATGAACTATGAACCATTTTTTTCAGTATAGAAGATGTTTTCCCAACGAAAATTGATCGTTTTGATATTCAACCTGATCATCAATCAAGTTAAATGTAAAATTGAAATAAGATGTGATCTAATACCAGAAGGGGTAACTTCTCCAAGATGCAAGGACGAAGTAGACAGATATAAAATCGACATTTCTGGAAATCCTGATACCTACATTCCAGGAGAACAATATACAGGTAAGAAAAACTATTTTTATTACTGCACCAGTCAGTTTATTGCTGATTTGATTTCTTTTAATTTTGTATTAAAACGCTTCAATATTTTTTCTAAATTCGTTGAGTGGAATTTGAAAATTACCCATGCATATAAGTTTATATAAATAATCATTTAATTGCTTTAAGATCATTTTTGCCCAACTGAAATTGCAGTATATACTTTCACTTAATTTTAAATTCAAAAGATCAATAAAAGTCATATGAAGAGGCCAACGAATAAAATAGTGGCATTTAAAAGGCTTCCTTACCAGACTTAAATATTCAAAATCAATATTAATTTACACTTTGCAATAATATAACATGGTAAATGCACTTTGCTATTCTAAGGTACCATAATATTGGTTTGAATTTTTATAATTTAAACTTTGTTGTTGTCAACACTCGTTACTAAAGTTATTGATCGATTTTGACATTAACTATCAAACCAATCACTGTGATACTAACTATCTAAAGTAAAATTCGACCAAATTAAATTTAAGGTATAAAATAAAATTTTTTTATAGAATTTTTCAAAATAGATAAAATAGCATATACCTATATATTTAATCTTTGACTTCTCCTCAATTATTTTTAGATTGATAAAAAATCTTCAAATGATATTTTTATTGAGAATTTTTTCAATTATTACAAATGTTGTACTTTCAAATAACTAAAAAAAAGGTTTAGACTGAATTTAATTAAACAGGATTTCAGACCGTCCCGACGGTGCCCTATAAATTGGCATTAGGCTTAATAGTATCGAACAAAACTTGAGTGTAATTGATAAAATCCCCTTAAAACTTTCCAAAACTCTTTTTAATTATATTGGGCTTATCAGCGAAAAACTTTACTAATGAACGAACTCTTATCGTCTGATACGTTTTGAATTGGAAAGTTTAAAAATTTTGTTTTATTGTATCTATAGAGCAAAAGAATATGTGAAACTTGTAAAAGGTCGATATTCAGACGGCATGTGATAAAATTTAATTAATAAAAAAAAGTATAAATAAGAATCATCGAGAATTTTTGAAAAAGTTATAGTTTTTCGAAAAATAAAAAGCCATTTTTTTTTAATTAAAAAAAAATTTCAATTGGGTAAAAAAAATAAAAAAAAAAAACGAAAAATGTTTTTGATAGGGTAGAAAAAGTGGTCAATTTAGTATGGAATGCCCCATATATTTGGATTTTAATGAAATAATCGAGGGGTAAACAACGGGCGTAATAGGCGTACAAATTGGATGTAATTTATTACACTTTATTGTAATACCAAGTAATATTATGTAATTGCACGTAATATCACGTAATCGCAGGTAATATCACGTAATATCACGTGATAGTTAAGTAATACAACGAAATACTACGTAATACCACGTAATACTTTGAGTAATACGTAATACACAATATGCACATTTTGCGCGTAACGGTGCGCGTCCTCTATATTTGAATACCGCTGTATACCGGTAAATTTAATTTGACCTAAAATTCGTATTTTTTCTGGTTTTTAATAAATTTAACCATACCTAGTAAATTCTTAAAAAGTTTGTCATTATAAAGTTGTTAATAGTTTTTTGATACCTAATGTTTTAACGTAAATTGTACTAACCTAACAAAGCAAAAAAACTAAGTTCAGATCGAATATATAGAGTAAAATCATCTTAAAATTAATTATTAGGATGTTTTTACTCAATATATTCCATACCATACATTAAGATGTTTTACTCTTTATATTTTATCTGAACTTGGTAATTATTATTGTCTTAATAATTATTGTGCAATAATGTTTTATGTGTATGTATTAAGGGCTATTTTATTAAGTTTATTTGCAAAATGTTTTTTATTTATACTTGAGATATTAAAAATGGAAAGGTAGGTACCTAAATAAAAACGTCAATAAAAACATAATACCTAATGTTTTTAAAATGTTATGTTTAATCGGTTTATAATTTATTGTTGTAGGCTAAAAAAATCACTATTTACCGCGTTTTAAGTCGAAACTTTCGACCGATCATAAATTTCGATAATAACCTCACTTTCTACTTTTAATAATTGTTTCATCGAGCGTTTAAAGAGACGTTTAATAAATATGGAGCAAACTTGCAAAAGCCGATAAATCCATTTTAACTTATTCCGAGATATTGGCCAAAAATGTGTACAGCAGAGTGCCCCAAATATTTAAATACTATTAAAAGGGAATGTTGCTCCTGTTGGGTTGTCTCTGTTTCGGTTTTTACTTAGGTAAAATGCTGTGAGTCAAAAGAGTTTACCAAAATAAGTAAGAATCGGTACTATCCTCTTAAAATGTAAAAATGGATTTATCGCTTTTTGCTCCACAAATAAAATTGTGCCTTGAAGAAAACATATTTATGCCATTCTGCCAAGGAGTATTTTTTGTGCTTCGATTTATTATAATGTGTTGACAACTGTTAACATTTTAATAGTATATTGCACTACAAGGGCAGAAAGTGTGAGATTCCTGCACTGCGGGCCATGATGCCCAAGGCGAAGCCGAGGGCATCATGGCGCGCAGTTCAGGGCTCTCACACTTTCTGCCCGTGTAGTGTATACTATTTTTCTTGCTACCCGGCCGAAAATACGGGAAAAAATTAAATGTGTATATCGAAACATATTGATGCCTGCCCCGACATTTGCGGCACGAGCGATATTATAGAGGGCGCGCGTATAGCTTGACCATATATCGATATATTTGTATATTTTTTATTTTGTAGAAGGATAAAAAATTACATTTTCTTACTACCCTCGGCCGAAAATACGTATAGCTTGACCAATGCATCAAACGTAAACTTTCTGCCGTGGAATCGGGGACGAAACAACGTATTTTCGGCCGAGGTAGTAAGAAAAAATATTTAATATGCATATTATGTATATTAAACTGATCGAAAAAAGTTAAGCATATTTTTGAACAAAGTTGAAATCAAACTGGATACCGACTGATACCTAAAATGCGTTTTTTCGACTTCGTTCTTTTTTG